ATTTCTTGTTGGTGGATGAATTAATATCTAAAATATTGGACAGGTTTAAGCAATAATTTCACACTTACTAAACAAACATTACGGGATTAGATAATATAAAGACCTTTTATTTATAGATATGGCTTGAAGGCCTTTCCACTTAATTCAGAGGTAGATATACTCTGAAATATATTTTACATACAACAAACACACACAAACAAAGCAGTTACTTAATTACTTAAGACACCGATAGCATGCAGTACTGGTAGTATGCTGGCTGTCAAATTTATTTATTGTAGTAGCAGTAGATAGTAGAAGTACTGCTCCACGCAGCACGCATATTATTTATTTTTGACAGCCTCACCCTTCATCTCTTGGCTGCCCTTCTTATGGTGCCTTTTTAAATGTTACCACCATTTTTGGCGCATTTCCGGTTGGCTCAATTCCAAGATCACAGTCGTATCCATATTGGTTACCAGTGTCGTACTTGTCGTCGGACTTTTCAAGCTTTCGTTTGATTTGAGCCCATTGCACAGTGTAAGTGCCGGGTCCGGATGGCAGGATCTGAGCATACACCTGCTCACAGCAGAGTTGATATATAGATTAATTAATTATTTCAAACTAGTAAACAGTGTTTTGTATGACTATATATTTTACGAATACAATACCTTGTTGGAGACTCCATTGTTGATCCAGGCAACAACCAACGTATAGTCGTGTTTGAATTTGTACTCAATACCTGCAACTGAACCTGTCTGAGTAAACATCGTTTGCCCGTCAATTACCAATGGAACATTAGACATCCCAGGCCCATCCCAAATGTTGACGGAATTTAGCTTTACAATTTCGCCAGAAAAGTTGGTAAACTGGACATTTGTGGATGCAGGTTCGGCTGCCATGATAGTTTTGGTTATCAAATTTCTACAATCTCGGCTCTTTGCTTTTGCTTGTGCTTCAAAAACTTGTATACACACAATGCTTATATACTAGTTTTGCAGCATAAGACGACAAAATCCCCTATATAAATGTACAAAAAATTCTCATTATTTTTCTTTTTAATTAAATAAGAGATTCATGCAAAATATTAATAGAAGTTGCATACATTAATATCAGTCAATACTGTACAGCAAAGAAGAGATTGTTACGTTTTTCAGTATCAAGCCTCATAAATCACTTTCATATTATACTGTTTTGTATCTTTTGGTTACCAAATTTCTAAAATGATTGGTTTTGCATTGAATGTTGCCGTAAATAGCATAAGATGACAATAAGTTGGTAGGTACAAAATTTTCATTGTTTTTTATTTTCAAGTAAATGGAAGTTTTATATATATATATATATAGGCGGAGTTAGCTAACTTTTGTTGGGGAGATTAGAGACAGACGAATAAAAGTTAAAACTTTTGAAAACTAATATATTAAACTTAACTAATAATCAAAAGATTGTTAATAGAAAATTATTTTATATAACATGTAAATAAAAAAAACAAAGACTTACAATAGTTTTTTGGAAAAATTGTGCTTGATTATATCTATTGAATTCAAATTTATCAATTAAAAATTATGTATTGAAGAAATTTATTTCTTTAGGATTAAGTATTGGACATTTTGCTTCACATTACTTTTATTCATGAGTTGAAACATTGAGGCTTAATGGCTCGACTGTAAAAGAATCATTTGGACCATTTGGGTTTTTTCTTTTAAAAAAGTTGTTAATTATTTTGCAACCTACTTATACTTTAATCAAACTTGAAAAAAAAATTAATGAATTCAACATCCAATATTTTTATTTTATTTATATTTAAACTTGTAATAGTAAATATAAAATTATAAAGTGTAAAATATATATAGTTAAATACGATAAACAAAATTAATAATATTTTTATATAATTAGGATTATTTAAAAACTATATATTCAAAATAATTTCTTTTTAACTAAATATAAAACGTAAAGCATATAAAAACGATAAACTTAAGATAATTTTCTCTTACATAATTAGAATTAATTAAAAAAATGATACATTGATACCTGAGAAGCTAAATGTCTTAGAAGGTATTTTATGATGAAAATATAGATGCCTATAGGCCACTAGAACTTCTATGTGAAAGTTATTGATAGCTTAGGTGAAGGTATCATGCCTTGCAACCTAAAATGCGCAAGAGCATTCCATTTGAACAAGTATCATCACTTATATTTTATTTTTTTTCTCTGATTTATTTTATAAAGCAAATAAATAATAAAAAAACTTAATTACAAAAATGTAAATGAGAGTAAATTTAAATATAAATTCCATCAACCACCATTAAAAATTAATTGCATTACTCATCCCATTGCCACGTAAAAGTATAAATTTCAATCCAAGATACTAAACAGATCCACCTTTATCTTATCTATGTATTAAAATTTTAACGAAATAAGTTCCTAATTGGCTGAGCGGTGCTAATCACCATTAATGCCGATAAAGCATTGAAGAGAAGCGTATTTTAGTGAGAAAAGACTAGGGGTTTTGGCATGCATGCAAGACGGAAGGGGCTCTCGATAAGGATAGTAGTAGTACAGGACGAAGGCGAGCAAGAAACACGAGGAGGGTAAAGCCTAAAAGAGAATTGATGGTTCTGGAAAGAGAGTTTTGTCTCTTCTTAGGAGGTTGTCCGCAAGTGTTTTAGTTGCATGGGTCTTTTTCACTTAGAGCGCAGCCAAGATGGTGTCACTAACATTGGCAAGGTTGTTTGATATTCCATTGTCAAGTTTGAACGCTTTGTGAGCCACCATGGATGGGTGCCAAGTGGAATAGTCACTGAGGTTAAAGTCTTTTTTCTACCCATAATCTTTCCCTTGGAACGCAGCCAAGATAGTGTCACAACCATTGGCGTTGTCCCTTGTCACCAGCTTAT